TTTTGCAGCTTTATTACTTCTTGGCACTGCTCGAGTTTTGGATCTCCCACCGTTTCGCAATCAATTTAATCATGGATAATTGTAAATTATTATTTATCAAACTTTTATTACTTATACAAGTGTTGTAACAAACTTTGTGTTAATCGTTTACCTTAACACACATTTAGTTTGAAGTTTTGTAATTCTATTTAAATGCTATCAATATTTTCAGCTACAAATGCAAAGTACAACAAAAATACAACCCAACCTAGTTGTAACAATTTTAAGTACTTATTAAATCCATGCATCTTTTTAAAGTAATCACTTCTATTTTTTTATTTATTTCTTAATTACGTATTTTTAATTAGATTATAAATAGATAAGAGGGTGTTGGTATTAAAGATCGTTGACGCAATTGTTATTGTCGTAAAGACCTATCGCTATGATTGATCGAGTCGTTATTGTCATTTATATTTTGATTCTAAGTGAATTTTAGACTATCGTTATATCATAAAGCTTTATAAAATTATTTTTCAGTATTGTTCGATATATGTAATTATAGTCGACCATGTTAATAAAGGCAGTACGAATTATCTTGTTATTTCAGATAGCCACGTTGGTATTTAATATCCTTCAATGTTTGCAGAGTTTCTATTGTGATACAATTTTGGTAAATGCACCGATACCTATCTGCCAGTCTTGTTTATTGTTAGCTCGATTTATTGTTTATATTTACATTTCAATAATCGCTGTTTGATCGTTGGCGACTGGCGGCTTAGAAGACATTATAATCCCGTTGTCGCCAAAGGACAAACAAAAGCTGTCACTTTAATAAACAGCATGCTTCCGATGGACGGTTGTTATGCACGATAACGAACGAAATAAAAATTCCTCCAAGATGCACCAGACAGTTGCACAAGCGATAAATACATCGATAAACATCGTTCGAGCTTATAGGATTAAAAAATATGTCGAAACTTTAGAAACGCCACAGTAAATCTCAATGATGTGAAATAACGAATGCATCGGTATGGAATTTTAAATATGTGCTTCCTTATTTAATGTCCTCAGCGTTATCAACCGTCGATACATGCGAGCACTTGCTTCAGATTATCATCTAATCCCAACTAAACCGATAATAATGGGATTTTATAATTGTAAATGACACTTTTTCTACAAAAACAAACATCTCTTTATTTGTGACCGATAATATTCTTCTCTTTTGTCGAATATTACAAATTTCATATTACATACGTATTATATATAATTCTGTTACATTAAATATTACATATTCGGTGGTATTACACATTATAAATGGTCAACAATGAGTTGATAGAGTCTAAAATTTGAATGGTTTATACGATAGACTAGTTTTAAAATTTTTCATCATTGATACTGTGCATCCTGAAAAAAAGAAACGTACAATAAATTGAATACACTGAAATTTATGGCAAAAAAATAACTGGAAACTTACATATTTTATGTAAGACAGGAAAATGTCATAGATCATTGTCATAAAGTTGGTATACAGTACCCTGTAGCGAAGGGGTATGAAAAAGAAGTTCACACACTGTGTTGGTGGCCAGAAACAACAGTCAACCTGAATAAAAATAGAACAAATTGAAAATTATATTCACTTGTTTTGCCATATAACCACGAGGTACAATAATAGTTCATTAAAGTGATCTATATACCTTCCACGTGTCGTACAGCTTCATTTTCACTTCCTCGTATATAGCGTTAAAATTCTTGTGCTCTAAAACGCCAAGACCAACGAAAAATATTCCCAAGCAAGTTGGACTGGCGATTGTCTGATCCAGACATGTTTTCTTGATAACGGACATCACATTTCTTCCAGGAAATGCTCTGTCCAAGATCATGTAGAACCAATGATGAAAGGGGCCTTGTAAAAGACCCACCACCGTCATGTTTTTGGTACGTACATAATCATGCGTGTAAACATAAAAATTCATAGAATTTTTGAATTTTTTATCGTCTTCTAGAGATGCTGCCATCACATAGGTTCCACCTGGCAAGTATTTGTTCTTCTTCAAGTACTCACTGCGCTGTTGAATTATGTCCCCTGCTGCCATCATCAAGCCACAGCTTACTGTGTTTGTGATTAACAAGTACTTGCCTGGAAAATGTATACAATGTCCATTATATTGATTTAATTTTGTTTTACTACTGAAATATGAGAATTTATGTTACATTATTTTAATGATACATTTATACATTTAATATAATAATTTGAATTATTTATTATGCTTACCAAACAATTTCTTCCAAACAGTCATTTGCGTAATAATCTTCAAGTTTATTGAGCAACTGATTTATCATGAACCACTGATTTCAGAAATACCTTCTTCCTTTATCCTGGCACTCTTTCTGTTCCTATTTTAAGTAAAGCACTAATATCTTTAAATTTTTCTCACTGCTATATGGTCATGCAAATCTTGATTTTTTGATGCTTGTGAAGGCGAAACCTTGGCTGGACGCGACCTGGTAACATACCGTTCCTATTCACTACAGGGTGAGTGTCTTTCAAGCAGAATTTACGAGCAAATATAAGTTATCATTCTTGCATTATAAATCTGCGCGTTACTGAACAGAAATTGACGAAATCGCGGTTATTATAAGACAGAATGTAACATCAAAAGTTCCGCCGCGTTTGCGCAGTCAGAATGCACTCCCACCATTCAATATTTTTTATTTGTTTGTGTATCTTTGTGCTCTTTGCTTTGGTAAAAATGTTAACATTATGGTTAATGATTTATCGTTCAATCACGCTAAAATGCTTCCAATGAGATGAGACAGGATTATGTTTAAAATAAATAATGTACATTAAACTTTTAGACTTTTAAAATTATTTATTACAAGTCAAAATTTTATAGATATATAACATGGTGATAAAAGTTAAGATTATTTAGTTTGAACTGATTTTGGTTTTGGTAAACCTTCCCTGAATCCATTCCTGAAAAATAGTGTAAAAGACAGAATTGATAAATGAATTCAATAATACTGTTATTAAATTTCAATCTAGTATTTCCACTTGTACAATACTTATTTATTTCATTTGCAGACTATATAATTTATGTTTATTCTTAAACTTACTTGAATTTACGGCGAACAATCTTCAAGTAACGCATGCGACCAGTTCCAGTGGTCTTCCTCCTTTTAGCCTTTACAGACCAATTATCTAAAATTTATGATTTAGAATTTAATTAAAATTTAAACCTTGTCATTAATTATACATATGAGAATTTTAAAAATAAATTTTTGCTATATTAGGAAGTAAACATATTAAGAAATAACTTATACACAATGAAATTTGATTTTATGCATTTATTATACCATATAATTTATTATAACTTTGCAGTGATTATTTATAATTAAAATATTAACTTTTTGTCAATAAACAATCTGTTATTAAATTATCCTTTCATTTTCATTTTTTCTACTTAGAACTGTTGTACAATAAAGGAATTATTTAGAATTGTTTAATATAGAATCAAAACTTACATGACCGCATTTTTTTCTGAGGATATCCACACTGAGCACATTGTGACTTCTGGATGTGATACGAGCTGCGTCCACATCGTCTGCACAATGTATGTGACTTATTCCGTCGCTTACCAAAACTTGATGTACCTTTGGTCTGTGAACGTTAAATCTTGTTGTTAGCACTGACAATTCTAAACCCAACCAAAATTAATTTTTATGTTCTTTCAAATCCTACGTGACGTAGTAAACATTTGTCGTATAACCTCTAATATTATTCAATGTGAATAATGTATTTATTCCGCGCAATTATACAGAAAACTATAATTTAATATAGTTTGTAAATACAATAATAAATCATTTTTAATATTTCTCAAGTAAGAAATTTTTATGATCACTTTAGAATATACGGATTTTAAAAGATCGAATACGCGCTTACCATTTTGCACGAAGGAACGGTATAAAAGGGAACTCTGGCCTTTCAAAACCTTACGTTCCTCCGTTCAAAGTTGACGTGTTCAATCCACTGCCGGCGACAGTGGTTCTCATTCAAATGGAGTAAATATACAGAATAAAAATGTATCTTTTTTCTTTTTGTGTAATTGTATTAAACAGATACAAAATTGTTGATTTTTATTTTTGGGAAGTTGTTAATTTAAATTAAGAGTAATACATAATTATCATGTTTATAAAGACAAGACCATTTATTATTTAAGTAACTTAAGTATTTAAGATATTTATGAATAATTAAATTTCTATTAGTTTATCTTCATCAGTAAGAACTTCGCGAGAATGTTGACTTCCAGATGTTACAACATGTTGAGGACCAACGACACAGTCCTTCAACTCTGTTCCTTCTTCTATGACACAACCATTACACAATATACAATTATGTATTACACACCTGTAAGAAAGTGTTATTTGTTCAAACTGAAAACTGAGATGCAAGTTTTAATTATTCCTTAAAAAGTACCTTTGCTTAATTATAACGTTTTCCATAATAATGCTCTGCGATATTCTAGTTTTTGATTGAACAACTGCATTTGATCCTATATGACTATGTTTAAGAGATGTTTTATCATGGATCAGGGCATTACTGCCCACGCAACAGTCTTGCATTTGTGTGCTATGTACAGTTGCCATAGATGAGATACTTGGTATAAAAGATAATTCACTGTCATCATTGGACCACCATTCTGATATCTAAAATATTTATTTTATTGTTCAATATAATCATTACAAAAAATGTTTCTTTCATCATTACCTTAGTATTAGCAAGGTGATACATTTGTATGGTATTTGCCCTTAAACCAAATTTTTCACTATCAATGTAGGCATAACACCTTATTATATCCCCATGATAAGCATCCTCTAAATCAGTACTATGATCATTATATGCCGACATTTTTCTAATCAACTCATCAAGCGGTTTTTCAGTCGCAAAACGATAGATGTCTTCTTTTAAGTTTACTCGCACGATCGAAGTGTTTTTATCATCTAAACATTGCTTAGAAGGTTTAGAGAATTGCTTGCTAACAATGTATGGAAGAAGTTCACCTTTCAGTGTAGTAAAATTTCTACAAAAAAGAAAAACACAGTTTATTATGTGCAATCTATTTGTAGATCCAATTGTTAAGGTTTTTTTTACATAATATTACTTACTTATTATGCACTAAGAAATCTAAAACCCATTTGTTTATGACATATAAATGAGCATCCATTAATTTTGAATGGATAGTGAAACTTGGATGTTTCTTAAGTAATGTTTGCGAAATGTTAATGGTTTCCTCAAAATCTGAGGCTGATGCCAAGAAAATTAAACGTCCTGTTTCATTGCTAATACCAATCAAATCAGTCTCAGGTTTTTGCTTACTTTTGGGACCTGGAGTTACAAGGTCATCTGGCACTTTAGGAACAGGTAACATTAGAGCTGTGATACTAGCATTATGTTTCCTATAAAGATTTATGATTTCACGTATATCAACATTTGTAATCAAGTCACAGGAGATCACTATAAAGTCTGTGTGAATTTTCTCATGAATAAGTCTTATGGAATCAGCAGTTCCTAGGTCTTCTGCATCTTCAATAGCAACAATATCTGTCTTAATTTTAAGGTTCAAGTTGCTCAAGGCAAAGGATACATTATTCTCCATATTTTCAGATACAATAACAATAGCTTCTTTGAATCCAACACGTTCCAATAACTGAAGGGGATACCAAACCATTGGTACATTTCCAATTGGTAATAAACATTTATGTTGTCCATGGGTGAGTTCAGTCATACGGGATCCTCCTCCACCAGCAAGCACCACTGCTTGAAATTCTCTATAAGGAAGCATCTTTTTTACCTACTGCAACAGAAGTAACAACAAAATAGATTACAGCAATATAAAAGAAAAAACACCTTTTATATAATGAAACTTAAATTTTCTTATTTTAATGGAATACGTGATAAAAGTATGATAAGGAAAACAAAACGTAATTATGAATATTTTCTCCTTAATACTACTTGAATAACCTTTAGTGACAGATGGCCTACATCACATCAACAACGTGTTGGTTATTTAATACTTGCCATGTTTAGGTTAGATCAAATCATATTTTAAATATGTTCATAAATTGCATCACCTTGATATAAAAATTATACAATTGTATAGAAGCAAAATAGTAAGAAAAGTATTGTATAAAATTAAAATAAATTTTAATTAAAGATTTAGCTATAGTATTCCTAACCTATTATAGCGTAATTGTACCTGTAAAAACGTGTATTTCGGGGACAATTTATGGGATTAGAAAATGTGTGAAACTGAGGACGATATAATCACTGTAGGAAAGTACGTGATAGTGAAGAAGTTAAACTTTAAAAAAATTTATAAGGTAACTGGTAATGGTACTTTAATGCTGGGAAAAGATCTGGTGGGCATGCATGAAATTATTGGAAAACGTTTTTGGACAACTTTTGAAATGGTATCAGTGAAGGAAGGAAAACGGATGTTTTCTTTAAAAGAAGTAGTAGAAACAGAGTCACTGAATGATTTATTAAATGAACTACCAAGTGGTTGTGATAATCGTTCCATTATTGATGATGGTACATCACAGAAACTTTCCAAAGAAGAAATCCTCCAGTTTCAAGAGTCTGGCAAGAGTGGCAAAGAAATAGTGGGTAGCTTGATTGAAAATAACAAATCTTTCTTAGATAGGACAGAATATTCGCAAGAAAAGTATTTGAAAAAGAAAGAACAAAAGTATCTTAGATATTTAACCATATGCAAACCAAATATAAGTTCGTTGCATGATGTATATTTTAAATTGGATCATAGAAAAATTGGAAATTTAAGGATGGACACTTTGGCACAGTTATTGTCATACAGTGATGTTCAGTCAGATGGATTATACATATTATATGATAGTGGATCTCAAGGTCTACCAGCAGCTGCATTGTTAAACAGAATAGGTTCAAATACAGAAGGACATTTGATCAATCTGCACCCTGGAAATGTACCTCAGGCTATGCTTGTTAATGCTATGAATTTTCCTAAGGAACAGTTAGATAGACTAGTCAATGTCAACATTTATAGCTTCTTGAGATTATATTATCAAGGTGAAAGTGCTGTATTAAATAATATTTCAAAGAAGTCTCAGAACAAAAAAGATTTAAGCAATGTTGATGAATTAAATGAAGTGACTGAAAGGAATAATGAGATTGAAGAATGCAGCAGAGAAAGTAGTTTGAAACGGAAATTAAAGGACTCCAATGAGAGTGAAGAAGTTACACCTATAAAAAAACCAAGGTGGTTGTTGGAAACACAGCATGCTGTAGAACTTGTAAAAAATTCAAAAGCTCGAGGACTAGCTATTATAGCCAAAGAGCATCCTTTAAATATTGCCATGGCTCTTTTACCTTTCTTAGGGCTATCTAGACCATTTGTAATTTATCACATATATCGTGAGCCTTTACAAGAGACTTACATGATGTTGAAGCAAAAGCAGAATGTTATTAATCTAAGACTTTTCTCCAATTTCATACGTTCATATCAAGTATTACCAGACAGAACACATCCTGATATTTTAACTAGTGACACAGGTGGTTACCTATTAACAGGATATTTAGTTTAATGATGTAAATTTTATTGAAAAAATTGTATAGGCTTAAAGATTGTAATATTTTCTGTGACTTAAATAAAATTTATACCATAAACGTAAATAATAAGATACTTTTTATAATAGGGGTGATGTAGATGATTCATAAATACAGTTAAGTATACAGTAAGTCATGAAAGTATTCAAAAGCTTTCAAATGAAATGTTTAATGCTTAAAAAAATGAAGTCACATTACAAATTCCAAAATGCTTTTATTCAAATAATATATAACTGTCATGATTATACATGTAGAACTTGAAAATCATTCGATAATGTGAACAATATTTATAAAGTATTTAATATTTATAAAATTTTTAGTATTCAAATGACTAATTTACAGCTTATTTGAATTATGTATGTAAATATGCTACTCATCATGTCTTACACACACTGTTGCATACTGTTTACCAAATTTTCAGTAGTACTTTTTTTTATATTATTTCAAACTTGTATAATTTTTTCTTTTAAACCTTTCGTGGAATTTATAATGCATTTGTATTATACTCAATATATCATAAATACTAAAATATGCAGTTTGTTATATACGATCCATTCTTTTGCAATATGAACTGTTTGTTTAGGATAATTGTCCTGTTGGAAATAAAAATTGTTTATTAAACCTAACTTTTTCTCACTTTGTTTTAAATTATTCTTTAATATGTGCAAATATTTATATTTGTCTAAGATCCCATTAATAATGACAAGATTTACAATGCCACTGGTTTTTATATACCCCCACACCATTATTAAATCACATCTGTGCTATACTATTGGATGTAGATTTTATTTAATTTTTCTATTCAATTTTCTCCAAATTAGATAACATGCATCAAACCCAAATATATTAAATTTGCTCTCATCAGAAAAAATATTGTATTTCTAAAACTCGTCTTTATTGTCATATTTTTTTAGCAAACTTTAATTTCTTCTGTTTGTTGACTTTGCTTATGAATGATTTCTTTAGAAGAATACAATCATGAAACTATTATCATGGAGAATTCTTCGGTAATGTTCAGGATGAACTTGCTTTCCAAAAATATCAGTGACCATCCCAGCAAGTTTTGGAGCAGAAGTAGTTGGATCTCTTTTTATTTCCCGGATAATTATATTTTCTTCTCACTTCGTTAGTTTCTTGGACGGATTTCATTGTGTATGGATTCAATAGTTTTAAACTTTCTTTAAATTTAATTTAATTTATTTTTTGTTGAATTTTGTAGATGGTCGATTTATTTCTTCCTAACAATTTTGTGATTTCACTGTATGACTTGCCTTCATTATGTCATTTAATTATTAAATCGGCTACACTTCGTTTCGGAGTACTACTTTTAAAAAAATGTCTTTTGTATTTTCTGATAGTACTCAACGAATAGAGTCGAAATATAACTGTTTTGAGTCTAGGAATCAATTTTGATTCAAAAGTTATGCGAATTTAAAATTTCGTACTCTTAGCCTACTGTATGGTTTACTCTAACTCTCCAAGAATCTTTTCTTCGTCTTATGTGTGTTGCGTTGTTAATGCATAACTGAGTAACAATTTGACCAAATACATTTTAAAAATAGAAAAGTACGTGTAGTATTGGTCTGACTATACATTTTTCCGGCCGCAGGAAGGCGGCCGGTAGCTCTTATCCAAAATGATATTTGACAAACGATTCACATAGGGTGACTCATTAAATAGGATCACCTAAATCTCTGCTTTATTTGTTGTTGTATGAAAAAATTTCTCAGGACAAAGTTGCATTATTTCAAGGAGCACATGTAATCATGTAAACGGTTTTTTTTCTCAAGGTTATTTTTTATGAGATTTCAAGGTCATCGTTATTTTTTAAATGGAACCCTATATTTTTTTTCAATATCCTTCTAAAGAGTGAAAAAAAATTCAACGACCTTAATAACTATACCATTCCCTTCGTTCACTTTCAAAATATTTGTGTCCACAGATAATTAAAATTTTCTAAAAATTTACTCAAGCATATCGAGTCACACATTCGTATTCGAACGTAAACATTACATGATGGTCGCCTATCACATTAATCGACGTGTGCAAGGATAGTGTTAGACAGGATGTTTAAAGGACGTTGGATCGAACGACGAAGAACTGTAGAGTGGTCAGCTGGTTTTTCTGACCTTATTTCATTAGATTTTTATCTGTGGGGTAAACTAAAAAGTATGGTTTATCATGAAAACCCAACAAGATAATATGAAGGAGAATATAAAGGAGAGAATTGCAGGAAATAGAAAAAGCGTATGAAGAATTGATCAAAAGATTCCAATTATGCATAGCAGCAAATGGCCATCATTTTGAGCATCTCCAACCTTTGGAATTCACAATGAGTTGTAAAAGTATCTTCTGTTACCTCTTCCAATAACAGGTAAGATTTCTGATTGGATACGAATGTGTGAATTAGTGTACCGCGTGAATTCTTAGGAAATTTTAATTCCCTTCAGACGCAAATATCCCGAAATTGAATTATGGGAATGGTATGGTTATTAAGGTCGTTGAAAATTTGTTTTTTCGCTCTCTACAAAGGTACAGGAAAAATATGTAGGGTTCCATTTAAAACATAGAGATAACCTTGAAATTTCATAAAAAAATTACCTTGAGAAAAAATCGTTTTCACGATTATGTATATGTGTCCCCTGAAATTGTGTAACTTTGTTCTGAGAAGATTTTCATGCAAGAACAAATAAGGCAATATTTAGGTGATTCCATTTGACTAAGCCACCTTGTATATTGATAATAAAGCGATATGTATTCCGCTGCTTTATACTACATTTTATACATATATTTAAAATTTCCTATTTTTACATTATAATTTACGCCAAAAGTGCTAAACTTTAAAAACGCATAACTTTCGAACCAATGTATGCATTCCTAAATTCAAAACCGTTATATTTTGTCTTTATTTATCGAGTACTATCAGAAACTACAAAAAAGAATTAAAAAAAAAATGGTGTCCCGAAACGAAGTTTCCCAATTAATTCCCTATCAGAGATATTCGTTTTTGTTTTCTTTGGACACATTATTAATATAAATTTTACGATCTTGCCAATATTCAAAATACAAATCAAAGGAAGTGTGTCACATCAACTGATTATGTGAATGTTTACATTTTGTCATGCTCACGAAATGTTTATATAGTAAAGTTTACATCATTCGAATACTTTTGTGGCGTTCATAAATATTATTCAAACTATCGGATGCTCTTCAAATTTTATATGTAAAATCGTGACACTTATATGTTACTGCTGAAATAAAAGCATTTTGAAATTCGTAACGTGACTTCATTTTTTTAGGCATAAAATATTTCATTTGGAAGCGTTCGAATATTTTCGTAACTCACTTGTGCATGAACAGCTGATACTCCCCGGTTTTAACAAAGTTAGGTCTTTTTACTCGGTTTCGCAGAATTTTGTTGTAAATATTGTTTAAACAGTAACACAAAAAGGAAGCATAATTTTTTAAGAGAAATGTTTAAATAACATATTATACTACCCGAAAAGATAAGCATTTGAAAGGATGACAGAGTATCGAACAGTGTATGTACGAAGGTAGTATTCGAGAGGTTAAAAATGTAAATAAAAACGTATTTACCAAATGGATTCTGTAACGCTTTTGCCGTTAAAACCTTCGTCAAAAAATTTATATATGATGATAAAAAAAAAATTGCACGTGAAATTGAATATTCCGACGTTGCTGATAATATTGTCGATCGTTTTCTTATCTATACATTATCTGCCTTCTATAAAGTGTACTTCTAACGAGCAAGAAGCGAGAAGTAAGTTAAAATTTAGGCTCGTAATACTCATACTCTCCAGCCCTGACAATTTAGAGCAAAGAGCAACTATCAGGAAAACATGGTTAGCACAGAAACAGGCAACAGTCAAGCATTTCTTCGTAATAGGAACTTTGGATATATTGTCAGAGCAAAGGGAAACATTACATTCAGAGAAACAGAAATTCAATGATTTACTTTTGTTATCAAGATTACCAGATTCTTATGGAACTTTGACAAAAAAAGTTTTATATGCATTCAAAGAAATCTATGAGTATTTTGATTTTGATTTCCTGATGAAATGTGATGATGATGCATTTGTATTAGTACACAAAATTTTAAAGGAGTTAGATAAATGGGAGAGTAAAGGAACAAAGAAAGAATTATATTGGGGCTTTTTTAATGGAAAGGCACAAGTTAAAAAAAGTGGACCATGGAAAGAAATGGATTGGATATTATGTGATTACTATCTTCCCTATGCACTTGGAGGTGGATATGTTGTATCTTACAATCTAGTGAAATTTATTGCTTCAAATGCAGATATTCTTAAGTAAGCTTTTGAAAATACTAAGTTTAATTATTAATAAGTGTTATGAAATAGCTTTTAACACTTGGTATGCTTTTAGGCTATATAAAGCAGAAGATGTATCTGTTGGCCTATGGGTAGCACCTTTGGCAAATATAGAAAGGAAGCATGATGTACGGTTTGACACAGAATATAGATCCCGTGGATGTTCCAATCAGTACATAATCACACACAAACAGACCATTGAAAATATGAAAAACATGCATGAATATTATCAAGCATCTGGAGCTTTGTGCATGAAAGAAATAAGAAATCGCATGAGCTATCGATATAATTGGACAGTTCCACCTAGTCAATGCTGTAATTTGCAATCAGGCATTCCATAACAAGTGAAAAGTTTTTTCTCACATATTTGATATTTTAGTCATTACTTTTCTTTTCAAATTATTGCATATATTTATATGTATGCACAATAAATATGGTCTGATCATTTAACCAACTAAATTTGTTGGTAAGTAAAGGGTTTTCCAATAAGAGTGATAGAACTTTAAATTGAAATAAAAAGAAAAATATAAAAGATAATCTGGTGCTCATTGTTTTATGTTGAAATACATTTGATGGCATTATACATAAAATACAATATCATTTAAAAAATCACTACAATTGCGTTTGGTGGAGTGAATACAACAAACCCAATTTTCGATAACTATGGCACATAAATTAGGTCGTATCTCATTAATAACACAAATGACGTTTGCTTTAAGATCTTCAACAGTTTGTGGTTTGTTGGAATAAATGAAAGACCCCACAAGAAAGAAGAAAGGTCTAATGGCATCAAGTCGCAAGATCTTGGTGGCCAGTTTACAGCTGCATTTCTCGAAATAATCCTATCATTGAACTTAAATCTCAATAAAGCAAGTTTTAGCAGAAGTGTGGCATATGTATCTATCCATGATAACTTGCCAAGCACTAGTAAATACAAATGTCACATGATTTTGATAATTTAATAACAAACATGGCAGCTGTGACAATTCAAAGTTTTATCGCACTTTTTGGAAAACCCTTTATTATTAAGAATTTTTTACTGATAATGGACATAATTATAAAAATTCTATTTAAATAATTGAAGCTTCAAAGTTAGTTATTTAAAAAATGAACAATAATAAATGAATAAAAATTTAAGTACTATTTTATCATACTACAACATGCATTTCATCTTAATGTCCTTATTTTATAATAAATAAGTTAAATCGATTCATAGTTATTCCTTGTATATATATTTTTGGTAGATATAGAAATTAAAAATTCATTTTTGTAAATCAAATATATTTTTCTCACTTGTACATATGAAATTCATTTATATAGTATATTTTACTTCAACAAAAAAAGCTTATTCTATACAATGTCATTTACATTTATAAAATATAAAAACAGTAATAATTTTTAATTATGATTCAATACTTATGTAGTGAGACAGTATTTCGATTAAGCAAATCACAGATGTTCAAAAAACGGCCAGTTTATAATAAATTACTACTTTGTACATCTAGAAAGAAGAAACAGAAAGAGAATAATAGTTTATGGCCGATTTTCAAATCCTTCTCCCCTGTGATAAGTAATTTACTATTTTTTCATTACATCTAATATTGCAAGTAATATAAGTATCATTAAATGTAATCTTTGAGTATATTTAATGAAACTAATATTAATTTTTATAAAGAGTATATAAAGTAGAATATTTACCTCCCAAGACATTTAAATGTCACAATAATTGAGAAAAGAATATTCTTTTATAACAACATTAGATGCAATGTAAATCCAGCCTTTTAGTACTTTCTTTCATTTTTACAAATTTCCTATTTTTGTTTGCCTTTATACAATTCAATGTCATCGCATGTCAAACCATGAACAATATTACATTCTAATTTTAGAAATAATGTACGAATTCTTTGTTTCTTTTTTTTCTTTCTTTTAAAATAGATCAACACATTTATGCATTTCCTAGGACTTACTTTTTCTTTCTATCTTGTGTACATTTTGGACAATACCATTTTCCTTTAGGTTTGGTAGTTAATCCAACACATGCAAAGTGGAACCATTCTATAGGACACTATAGCACAAAAAATGATAAAATTATGTATATATTGTATAATTGGAGATTCTAGATTGTCAATTAAATGTTAAAAAAAAAATAATATGGGCTTACGTCTGGATTGTCACAACCAATCATTTCTCCATAAGAAACCTGGTGGCATAGGCAGTAAGTTGGTTCATTAGGATCAACTGGCATATCTAAGACATCTGCTGGATGTCCAAGTGCAGTGGAATCAACTTGTGCACCACTTCCTACAGCTCCAGCAGATGAAGCAGAGGCAACAGATCCTGCTAGAATAGATACATTCATACTTAGCAATAAATTATATATATTTTCAAAATATAACAATTAATCTTACCTTTCTTTTGTTTTTTTCTAGCTGTTTTTGATTCATCTTCACTACTGGCACCAGCAGCACCTTTCTTTCGCTTCTCCTTCTCCTTTAACTTTTTCCTACCCTTTTTGCTAGCATTATTCTCTTCTTGAGCCCTACTACTATTTAAAGCCTTGTCTTGTATTTCAGCTTCAAACCTGGCTAAATCAGAGTCTAGCCTCCTAATATGTTTATCCACTAATTCATATGTTTGTATTGCTAACTGAACTTTATCGTCACCATATTCTTTTGCCTTGTTAAACAAGTTTTGAATATGGGTTAATTGTTCCTTCTTTTTTTCTGGTGACTCCTTCTTTACATTTTTTAAATAATCATCTGCTAATTTGTCTATATCTTTCATTAATCCTTGTGCCCTGGCATCAAGGTCTCGCATCAATGTGAAATTCCTTTGTAATTCAATTGGTAAATGCTCCAAACCTAATGGAACAAAATTGGATTAACAAAGAATATTTTATGGTTGATTAGAATCATAGTTCACAGACAATTTTTTATTCTTTTGTTATGTGTCATAATCATCAGAGACTATCTTTTATTCCTTAATAAACTGTAATAAATTTAAATTATTGCATAAATTTAGTGTAAATTCTGATCAGTTAATTGAGAGTATAATAATATAAAACGTTAATGTATTTTCATATACTCTTCGTATTTGACATAAATGCATAAAAAATGCCATTTTCTCTTAATTTTGGAATAGAAAAAAATTGAATGCTTACTATCTAAATAGTGCTCCAGATATAATGCTGTCGTCATGTTTCTCTTCACTTGATTCAAGTGTGAGGGAATATTTTACGCTTCATGTAAACAACGAATTAATTTTAATTTGCACCAAGTATTGAAATAATATCGGTAAAAAAAAACCGATGAAACTTCTCGAAAATGAGCGATCGATGGTCGTAGACGGTGAAAAGCAATAGACCTAACTCTCATGGCTACCAACTATACTATCATTATCTTATTCTTCTGGCGGGAAACCGTAAATAAGTATAATGATGTAATAAACGAATAAAAATATATTTTTTCTATCATTTCGATGCAATTCTTTGTTGTACATTTAAGCGTAAAATGAAAATAAAAGTTTTTATGTTATCATATAACATAGACACTTATTAATAAATACTGCATAAATTTTACCAATAACTTGCAATTATTATGATGATAATTTACTATTATCACGTGTAAATATGATATACTACATCATTTCTTCTTTTAACCATGCAACACGAAATAAATATATATGTCACATTTATCCATGAAATTAGCGAAGTATTTCATCGATTGAGAACCATTCTTCAGACAAGGAACATGGCGGTTTCCTTGTTTCTAAAATCAAAGTAGGTGTAGTCATACATGGGTTGTTGAATCCCTATTAGGTATGAGCAAGAGTTTAGTAGTGGAGTTAGGTTTGACAAGTTTTGTATGTTAAAAAGAATACAACTGGAAGTATATGCTAGTGTGGTAGGTTTGACATTAATCAGAGAATTGGTCAATGGAATATTTTCACTCGACAGTGATATATCTATAGTCTAACGACAGATAAACAAAAAATATATTTTACGGGATGTACCAAATGTCTAACCTTAGTTGAAGAATATATCGTTCGTTTTCCAGTCAAAAAATGGTAAAACTATATGCATTATCAGTTTTGTACAAACATCCTACATCGGCAACAACGTTGAAAGCTGTTTATGATGTAGAATCGTTCTCATTTTTTCAAAGAGGAAGTGTGAAAGAGTTCATGGGTTTTGTAAGTAAAACTATTGTGCAGAGAACTCAGATGAGCTCCAGGCAAAGTGTAAAGGAAGGAGGTAATATTTTGTTTTTTGTTTTTATTGGTACCTACTTTGTTTAAATTGCAATACTTTGCAGATTATATGTGTCATGTCTATGTACGTGCAGACAATCTTGCTGCAGTACTTATATCGGACAATGAATATCCTAGAAGAGTAGCACATACACTGATTACAAAGGTTATGGATGAATTCTCATTAAAATATCCACAATCTGTGTGGGATACATTAACTGAAGCCACAGTGGACTTTACACAGATCAATGTGTATTTAGCCAAATATCAAAATCCCAATGAAGCTGATGCTTTTACTAAAATGCAAAACGAATTAGATGAAACAAAAATTATTTTAGTAAGTATTAAGGGTGAGAACAAAGAAATTCCTTTTTAGACTACTTAATTGCCTGTTTATTTTGCTTATGTTGTAGCATAATACATTAGAAGCTGTACTTCAAAGAGGAGAGAACTTGGACGAACTTGTTTCAAAGTCACAAGGTCTCAGTGCTCAATCAAAGGCATTTTATAAAACTGCACGTAAAACTAACTCTTGTTGCAGTTTAGCTCCCTAAAAATTCCTCATTAACAAAATTGTGCTGATTACATTTTCAGTAAATGTTACTGTAATTTTATAATATCAATACAGATTGCAAAAGTATTAATATTATACAGATTTGATTAAAGGGGATAATTTATATATTCTATAGTTGACATCATATACAAAATTAAATATTTTGTGTACAGATTCTTTGTATATAGGATGTATGAATGCACTTAAATGGTATATCAAATTACTACTGAATTCACTTGATTGATTTCAATAACCCTTTTATTGTTTTGTAATAAATTGTTTTTTTTCTTTTTATTTTAAAAATATGTAACTCGGTAGTAAACAAACTGAGGTATAATTTATACATAGAAATACATTTCGATTTTTAATTTATTTATGTATCGAAAAAGACAAAGACGGGGTACAAATAAAATAAACGTTTTGCTGATGAAGATAAGTATAAAATGTGAATATAATTGTTAAATTCATTTAAGTATTCAGTTGAGAAATTAAAAACTGAAGCATTGCTTTGTAAACAGTTACCTTAAT